CATCGTACATGACAACGTGCATGAAATCTTCTGAAATTTTTGTCATAGCCTCCACATACGATATCACGACATCTCAACAAGTTTCATGATTTTCGGACTTCGTTTGCTTTTTATAGAATTTAAAAACACTTTGCATGCAAGTTCGCGGTCATGTTTCGTGAACAAGATGTCCGAAATTTCGGGTTCGTTCCTAGATACGGCCTCACACTACACTCACTAACATGACTATCAATTTTTGAATCATTAAATTCCATTATTCGTACCACGTGCAGTTCAAATTTATATTTTTCGAAAAAATTCAAGTGAACGAAATAAAGTAACTAAATATATCAAAAAGTCACAAAAAATCCCCAAATTCTAATTAGGAGTTCCTGGTATTTTAAAAGGGCTGCACAAAAAATTTGGAGGCCAGAAAACAAAAAAAAATAATAAAACTTTGCCGAGTGCCGGGGCATGGCACTCGCCAAAGGGGGTCTTTGCCGAGTGCCAAGAATAAGGTGCTCGGCAAAGAGGTTTTTGAATTTTTTTTAGAAATTTCCTCTTTGCCGAGTGCCTAAAGGGGCACTCGGCAAAGGCATCTCAGAAAAAAATTAAATCTTTGCCGAGTGCCGTGTCAGGGGCACTTGGCAAAGTATTTTCCAAAAAAAATACTTTGCCGAGTGCCAGATCTAGAGCACTCGGCAAAGACATTTCAAAAAAAAATTAAATCTTTGCCGAGTGCTGTGTCAGGGGCACTCGGCAAAGTATTTTCCAAAAAAGAAATACTTTGCCGAGTGCCAGATCTGGGGCACTCGGCAAAGACATTTCAAAAAAAAATTTAAATCTTTGCCGAGTGTCATATCAGGGGCACTCGGCAAAGTATTTTCCAAAAAAAAAACTTTGCCGAGTGCCTAACAGCAACCACTCGGCAAAGAAGGACGTGGCCGAGCACCGTTCCGCGGGGCAGCCTATGCCGAGTGCCGCGCTTTTGCCGAGAGCCTGGCACTTGGCAAGGAAGTCCTTTGCCGAGTGCCCTTTTTTGCCGAGTGCCCGGCAATTCTTTTTGTCGAGTGCCCGATTTTTGACACTCGGCAAAGCAGTTTGCACTCGGCAAATGCTCTGTTTCCAGTAGTGTGCATACTGAGACGAGTTTAATGGGAGCCTGAAAAGAACATGCAAATTAAAGGTGACTGCAACCAATGCTGAATCAGAGCTAATATAGCCGGCTTGCTGGTTGTAAGGTTCCTTACAACCTTCGCTCAGCCCAATCATATATATAGTTAGTTTTTCACTGTTAATACATGGTCCACTTGTCTCTCTCACAGAGTTCCTTGGTTCTTGTGCCCAATCTGGCTGTAAGCTTACAGCGCGCATCTCCCCTCTCTCGTCCCTTCTCTGTTCCACCTCAGTATTTAGTCAGTTTACAGCCTATTATTATACTTGCTCTCGTGGATGCTTGTAGTGAAAGCCCGTCCAGTCTCTTTACTACAGTACGTGCAGACAGACTGCAGCAGGCCCGGATCATCTGAAGCACACGCTGCGACCACCATGCATGGAATATATATCTGCTTGCCTGCCTCTGCCTGCTAATCATCAATGACTAGCATGCATGCAGAGGATGGCTGTGAATAAATTCATCCAGCAAACGCTACCGGATCAGATCATTTCATGGCAGCGTATAGAGTTGGATCACACAGGAATGCGTCTAGGCATTCCTGTGTCTAGGGCTCTAGGCATCGTGCAACTCGTGGTGGTCACGTATCACTGCACTATTGTCGGCATTTCCATGAGAAAGCACGATACTATTTTTATCTATGCATGCATGGACTGCATGGTTCTCTCATCTCATGATCATTGCTGGGCGTTGTCAGCTGGGAGTTGACACATGCACTGCAGTAATGTGAGGCCAGGCTAGCTAGCGCCATACAGTAGTTCATCCGTTAGCTCGGTTCCAATCCAAGAGGAGGACACCATTTCCATAACACCGGCTGCATTTTGCGGCTTACTTTTGACTTCTTCTCCAAGAATTTCATTTTTTTCTAATAAAATGTTGAGATTATGATGTTGAGACAGTAATGCTGAAGAGTAGATTTGTGGACAATTTGACATGTGGATCCTACCATATGAGAGTAAAAAAGTACCTACGTTTGTGATATGATATCAAATAAGTGTCATTAGGTCTACCATAAAATGTGTTTTTATAGAATGGATATTTGATGATAAATGTTTATATTCTTCTATATGAACTTCGCCAAACTTAATATGGTTTGAATTGGGACAAGGTTATAATTAATTTAAATCTTTTTAGGGCATAGGATGTAGATGTATAATTCCTAATTTCTTTAATCAATTTACCTTCATTTATTCTAAGTCCAGTAGACAAAAAATAAGCATTTGATGATGTCAAGATGATGCGCAGTATCAATTTCATAGGACCATCTTTTATTCTGCATTGTATGTCAAGATGACCAAATACAGAAATTTTAATTGTGTTTCGACATATGATTGATGATAGTGGTGTTTTTTTCTTGCTATATATATACAACACCATAAAAGACAACAAAAAATTTCAGTCTGACATGTGGCTTTTCATACAAAAATCATCCACCATGTGTATCTAGAAGATCCATTTCAACATTTTCTGTATTGTAATTCCCAAAAAATTCGAAGCACCGGCAACATCACAGATTTTTTTACTATGGCTAATATAAAGCCTTGACTCTGGACATTGAAAGGGCTAATTTTCTGGTGGCCAACATAGCGCCACGGCAATGATGCCAATCTCAAGGTGGCATGCGATGCATAATTTAGAGCTTGATATTTGTAGTTGCAAACGATACTAATTTCTTTCTGATAGCTTCTTATTAGTATACTCTGTCGTGTACTTGTATGATACTCTTTATTAATTATTGTTAACCATGTACATACAACGGATACTAATTTATTTCTTATCATAGCATCTTAGTGTACTTGTATGCTGCTTTTTCATTACTCGTGTATAGCAATTTATATCTGGGACAGGCCGCCTTGCACACTGCAAGCTCTTGCCATAGACGAGTAAACTAGTGTTACTACACTATTCCCTCTGTTCCAAATAGTATGTCATTCTGATTTTTTATCTGTATTATTTTTCGGTGTATCTAGACATAACACATATCTAGGTATGCTAAAAAAGATAAAACGACTTGCTATTTGAAACTGAGGGACTGGAATGCATGGCAGCTCCATGCGCCGTAATTTTACTCTTTATTGTGCAAGATGCACATAAGGATTTGAATTCCTGCAAATAGTAAATTTAATACTGACACCACGTTGCCTTCCCCAGCAATCCAATGCACCGGTAACATCACAGATTCTTTTCAAAATCAGTAACATCACTGATTGGTTCTTTCTAATCGTCTACCTAATTAAAAGTGTATTTTTCTTCTCCAATAATTATGAGCCATTTCACTTTGTGTGTACTGTCTTCTCCAATAATTTAGAGCACCAGTAACAACATAGATTGTTTCAAACCACTAATTTAAAACCTTGACCAACATAATGCCAGGATAAGGTTGCCGATCTCGAGGTGGCATGCGATGCTTAATGTAGAGCTTCTTATTAGTATATACTCTGCCGTGTACTTGTATGCTACTCTTCAATTATTGTTTACATTGTACTTCCAAAGCATATTAGGCAGTGCCAGTCCTAGGATTTTGAGGGCCCTCTGGCGAACTCGTCGCGACGGCCCCTCTAAAATCTTATATAATACATAGGCGTTAATTTTACGTGCAAGGCAAAAACAATCTAATAACATATTTTTAATCTAACATCTAAGTTAGAAGAAAAACTTGACTATATGAGTACAAAACACTAGAAGTCTAGAAAACTATACAAATAATTAATTTGGATTAAAAATGAATAAGGAAAAAATACCAAGGGCTTGGACATGAAGTAAAACAACTAATTGGCAATCGCAATTTGCAAGAAGGCAGGAACCAAGATGTCGTCGTCGTGGAGCACTTCCTAGTCGTCGCCATCGTACGCCTTGTCCGTGTCTCCGATAGTCCAGCTCTCCACGGCAGCGTAGCTCGCCGGCTCGTGCGTGCGTCTGCACATCGCGAACTCGTGAGCCGTGTTCAGAGTGTGCAGCATGGCTCGTCGCCTCCTCTCAACCTGGGAAAGAAAGGCCGACTTTCTCTTCTTGGGCCGCCTGGCCAGTTCTCTGCTTCTCTCATGTCTTTCATTAGTTTGTTGATGATGCCTAATAGACTATAGGGTCTGGAGGTTTGTATACCCGGGCTTGGGCCCCTCCCCCGTCTGGGCCCTCGGCCGTCGCAGCCCATGCCCTCCTCCTAGGGTCGGCACTAATATTAGGAGTATATACTAATTTCTGCTTGTAGCATCTTAGTGTACTTGTATGCTACTTACTTGTATGCACACTGCAAGCTCTTGCCATGGACGAATAAACAAGTGTCACTGCGTACTACTCTCTCTATTACTTGTATGCACACTGTAAGTGGTTCTGACGTGTTTATGTATTTAGATATAATGTATATCTAATAAATGCATAACAAAAACAATGTACATAGAAAAAGCCAAAACGATGGATATATATATTAGAATGCATGGCAACTCCATGGGCTGTAATTTTACCCATTACTGTGCAAGATACACAAGTGTTCGAATATCTGCATATAACAATTTTAATACTGGCACGGCCACCTCGCCGACCACGCACTTCATTTTTTACTGATTTATATGTGATACACATAATCACCACCAAGTCAAATTTGACACCCCCACGGCCCCCCTCCCACGTGATCATTAAACTAATGGTGTCTGATGTTTTGTGATAACACTCAACTACCTACTTAGACCTAGACCAAGACCTAATTAACCAAGCACAAGTAGTGTACCTGGATGGATTGCAAAGCCAGCAGCGCTATTTAAACCCAAGTACGGAACAAACCTTGTAACACCAAACCAACACACATACAGCAACAAAGACATACACCGCGAGTGACCGAGAGATACCAAGAATGGCAGCTCCTTCTCAGGCCATAGTTCCCATGGATGCCGAGCTGCTGCAGGCCCAAGCCGACCTTTGGCGCCACAGCCTCTACTACCTCACATCTATGGCGCTCAAGTGCGCGGTCGAGCTTCACATCCCGACCGCCATACATGACCTAGGAGGCTCGGCCACGCTGCCGGACCTCGTGACCGCGCTATCCCTCCCCAAGACCAAGTTTCCATTCCTCGGCCGCGTGATGCGGCTGCTGGTCACGTCGGGGATCTTCGCTTCTGACGGTAGCAGTGGCGATGGAGTGGAGGCCATGTATCGCCTCAACCCACTCTCCTGGCTTCTGGTCGAAGGTGTGGAATCCGAGGACCACACCTACCAGAAGTACTCATGCTTGGAACCTGCTCACGGCACTACGTTGAGGCTGGGTTGTCTCTGGCTGACTGGTTCAGGAAGGATCTGCGTGAGCCATTGCCATCGCTGTTCGAGGATTTACATGGTGTGCCCCTCGTCCATGAGAGACAAAGCTCCTCGACGAAGAGCTTGAGAGGATTGTTGACATAATCCTGAAGCCAAGTAAGCTGAAAGCAGGAGCTCAGGAGGAGCGGGAAGCTAGAGCACGGGCTTGTTTGAAATCAGGACGCACGGCGGGAATGGCAGTTGCCGCGGTGACCACGACCTGGGTGTGTCTGTGTTGAGTTAGTTGCGTTGTTGCAACTTGTATCACGTACGTGTGCTGTTTTTAGTATGTGAGTCGGAAAAACTATCTACTGGGTTAAGTAGTGGGTGTGTCAAAGTGTGTATTAGCGCCTGAAACACTTTGTATCCATGATTGTACTTGCTTCTAAGTAGAGTGAAAAAGGGCACTGTCTCCTGGTAGTCCACCGGGCAGTTGCCACATTGTTCATCGTGTTCTTGCGTTCTCTCTTCGCGCATTGCTTATCTGATCGATTGCTTAGGTTAGCCACTGCATAGGCGTGTGATTGTGATCCAATTTTGCCAACATCTGGTATCGGAGCCGCAATTCACATAGCCAATCCCATCTAGTGTTCATCCATGTCGGGGACGACTAGTCATGGAGGTCGGGGGAGCAGCAGCGGGGGGCACCATCAGGTCTTCCCAACGTTGACGGCGACAAATTTCACCAGCTGGAGCATCCGCGTCCAGGCGATCGTGGAGGAGCAGGGGTGGTGGGAGGTGGTGGAGCCGCCTAAGGGGACTTCGGTGGACAAGTAGTCAGAGACGGTGGCCGGCAAGGACAAGAAGGTGCGGGCACACCTATTCCAGTGTTTGTCGGATGACATGCTGATGCATGTTGCGAAGAAGAAATTAGGGAAGGAAGTTTGGGATTCTCTGAAGGCGCGGTTTGTGGGTGTAGAGCGTGTGAAGGATGCGTGGCTACAAACTTTGAAGGCGGAATTCGACGTGCTGAGAATGAAGGAGGAGGAGACTGTTGATCAGTTTGCTGGGAAACTGACGGCGATGTCAGTGAGATACAACAATCTTGGCAGTTCATTGGAGGATTCGGAGATGGTGAAGAAGCTGTTCGACACCGGGCCCGAGTGATTCCTCAATGTCGTGGCCGGGATCGAACAATTCTATGATCTGAAATGCATGGCATTCGACGAAGCCATGGGCCGGCTGAGGGCCTATGAGGAGCAGACGCGGTGGGGAGCTGCGAACGCGCGAGGCGACTATGGCCCGTTGCTGCTTACCCAGGCAGAATGGGAGGCACGACAGAAGAAGTCCGGCGGCGATGATTCCTCGGGGAGAGGGAAGGCGCAGGACGGAGGTGGCCGTGGCAGAGGGAGAGGCCGCGGCGGGGGAGGTCGTGGTCGAGGGGGTGCGGAGATGCGTCAGGTAAAGAAGGTGCTGGACGTGGTAAAGACAAGAGCCACATCCAGTGCTTCAAATGCCACAAATACGGACACTATGCAAATCGGTATCCGTCGGCAGAGCAGAAGGGCGACGGGGCTCACCATGTGAAGGCAGAGGGGGTTGAGCAGCTGCAAGCGGTCATGCTCGCCGTCTCAGAGGAGGTGTCGTCAGGCAAAAAGCGGAGAGCAGTTAGCCTGACTGAAGCCATGGTCTTCCCTGAACTGCATGTCACCGGAAGCGGAAAGCAGACCGGTGACAGCTGGTATCTGGACAATGGGGCCAATAATCACATGGCTGGTGATCTACGTGTAAGTTCACGGAGTTGGATGAAGGCATCATGGGGTGAGTTTCTGTCATATGCTTTCAGAGATGTTTGTGAGAATGCTGGGATTAAGAGGCAATTCACTGCTCCATAACAGAATGGAGTTGTAGAGGGAGAAATAGGACAGTGATGGAAATGGCAAGATCTCTGATGAAGAGCATGGGAGTTCCTGCAAAGTTTTGGGGGGAGGCAGTCACACTACTACAAAAAGCATTTGTAGAGGCGGCTGGCGATGATTTGTAGAGGCAGCTCGGCCAGCCGCCCCTATCATACCGTCTCTATAAATCATGCATTTATAGGGGTGGTTCCCAGACCGCCCTTACAAATCGATTTGTAGAGGCGGCTGGTGTTATCAGCCGTCCCTACAAATCGATTTGTAGGGGCGGCTACAGTACCAGCTACCCCTATAATACCTATTTGTAGGTGGCGGCTACAGTACCAACCGCCACTACAGTATATTTTTCCGCCAAAAAAATTTCAAATTACCAACACGTGCTCCCCCAAATCATCCTGTGACGAGTAAAATACATGATCAAGTATCCTGGCAAACTTGACTGTAATATTGTGGCCCAAACAAGATTGTTTAGCCAAAAATTTCTAAACATCTTCTATAGTACAAGAATCACAATAATAACAAACAGACTCATATTATGACAACAAAACATATATCTATATCACAAAAAGACCAAGCAAGCACTCAAGTGCTAACAAAACAAAAAATAGAGGTAGTATGTGTAGTACAAGTAGATATGTCTAACATGTAATAAATTGGCAAAGAGGGTCAGAAGTTTCTTCTCATTTCATCAAGAACTAATAATTCAAACATTGAAATAAGCTCGGAGATGCAGCAAGTGCAGGTCGGCTTTGAAGGATATCGCACGGCTGAACTCCGCTATTGCATCGTTCTCCTTGTGGCTATCCATCAGCACTGTGCAAATCAAAACCAAAACAATGTTATAACCAGATTTATATGCTGTGCAGAGCAATACATGAAAGACATGAAAAAGATGTATCATTGTCTAACACGTTATTCATCTTAGCACTTTCACAAAGACATGAGTACATGACATGAATAAGGAGTACTTTCACAGGTTGACTAGTGACTGTGCTTAGTGCATTTACAAAGTTGAATCAAATTCAGAATTTGACTGCAACCTTTCCTTCTATATAGAGTTATAGACCAACTACTGTCAATTATGTATGTTCTTTTGCAGAAAATATATACAGTGCCATTACACAAACAACTACTCAAATTCCTAAGAATACAAGAAATGGTCAGTAACTTACCCCAGAAGTGGTGGAATGGCACCAACGACTGCCCCAACCCATGTATTAACAGGGTGTATTTGCTTCAACGGCGTATACACAAATGCGTACAGAACAAGATTAGAAGCTGCAAGCCCAGCTGCCAAGCCATTAGCCTGCACAAACCTTGCCAATTTTTTGCATGTTTAGTTCCAGTGTCAGCTTTCTATCTACTTCACAGCTTAGTAAATTTCAAAAGAAAGTAGAATATACATCTATAGAATGCAAAGAGAAAGCAAGAACCTTCCAGGCCAGCAAAGCTGTTCCTGCAACTCCAACACTTGTAGCCCACATGGCAGCATGTGCAGGACTAATGCGACCAGATGGCAGGGGACGTCACATTGTCCTTTTCATTTGAGCATCATTTTTCATCTCGAACACCTGAAAGTAGGTGTTAATGATCAAATGAGTTGTCTTGGGGCAGCTAAAGTAAGTACAGCAAGTTCAACCAGGGTTATCCATAATTCCATATAGGCAATAGCTCCAATTTCAGATATTGCGTAATGTGTGGGAAGTAGGATACATTAAGAAAACTAGTATTTGGTGCAGGATCATGAAGAACCAAAGATTTGCATGCATATTAGTACAATGTATATTGATCTAACTAGAAAGGAGTGGAGTGGTACTATCTAATGTTTTGGATTTAATAACGTAGCAGTTTTTTTTATATATTTATGCAATCTAACATAGTTGAGATTGGCTAGTGCAATATGCTCATGTAGAATTAGTATCAGCAGAAATAACATTTAGCATGCATACTCATGTAGAATTAAACATGAAAGATCAATGAAAGATCAAACGTTTGCAGAAAAAGCATCACAGGGGGTTAAGTTAGCACAGACAGCATCAGCCACAGCAGAATTCTCACTTAGCAACAAGTCCATGTAAAACTGAGCATATGGATTCTACACGTTATATATACATTAAATACACCTCTACAGGATTCTTCACATACCGCTTCAAGAGCTTGAAGCAAGTCTGACTTGGAAATGCCGTGATCATAGTGAACACTGATAGGCACCTGTGATAAGAGAATCACAGACTGTGAACACTAGAGTTTTCAATTTATTCAGATAATTGTTAAACATGTGGTTTATTTAGGAGTACAGATAGTTGAATTTGCTGTCATTGAAAATGGTAGATTCTCAAGTTTCTCTTACACTGGACTGTTCTGCAGCAGCAATGCAACATGCTACCAATGGGACTCCACCTTGCTTTAGAGCACTGGGGTGAATCTAAACAGCAACCACAGCAATTAAGATAAAGACTCGAGATAGTATATGTGATATACTAAATTTTCATATATTCATTAACAATGCTATATACTATATTTTCGTAATCAAGAGCTACGTGGTACTGCTTTCAAAGAAGCTGCAGGACAGCAGGAGCTTCATTTCATTAAGAAGAGAAAGAGTACAGAGCACCGAACTACAAGGAACATCAACAGAACACTACAATGAACATAGACTCGCTACTCACAAATAAGCTACATTTATTCATCTAACAATTATTCATCTACTCAATGTGTCACTCAAGCTACCATGCACTAAATTTACAAAAAATAAAAACGGCACAGAAGCATATCAGGTATGAGCATAGGTGAACCAACCTAACAATATTCGGAACCCAATTAACAACAGAAGGGCAATCCGAGCACTAAACATGATGATCCCACCAACCAGCTCCACCTGAGGTAGCACATCCATTACCCTGAACAATGCACAGGAATTTTAGGCAACATGCATCTCCATCAAGAAACATAACGCAAAAAACAATCCACCATCTGGAAAACAATTCATCGGTACTTACTTCCTGCATTTAAAATTTGAGGTACTTGGTGCTTGCCATTGTAGCTTGCTCGTTTACTGTTGCCTCCCTGGGTGGTCGGTGCCTCAGCCTTAGCTGTCCTGCACTGCGCAAAGGGGAAGATGGAGGGAGAGAGGATCTGGGTGAGGAGCCATGAGACGGAGGACAGATCTGGGTGACGAGCCATGAGACAGAGAAGAAGAGGGTGAGGTACCTCCAGATCTGGCCGCCAAGCTGATCCGCCGAGGAAGAGGCCACGCGCGCGCAGACGGAGGCGTCGAACACAGTCACCTAGGGTTTTGATGTTTCGTCGAGCCTAGGAGCACACGTGGACCGGTGGAAGGAAGCCGTGTCGTGGTGGCAGCCGCGGCAACGGCCACCTGCGGGGGCTCGCTGGCGCCCGTGGGCCGCCGTCCCGCCCGCGCCGTTCGTCGACCGGCGCGCCGCGGCATCGAGAGAGAGAGAGGGGGGGGGAAGGTGAAAGCAGAGACGGAGGAGGGGGCCAGCACGCCGCCACGTCAGGAGAGATGGAGAGGGAGAGGGAGGGACGACGGGTGTAGAGGCGGCGAGAGCGGGAGCGACTACGGTAGGGGTCGCAGGAGGCGTAGCCGCGCCTCGTGAGAGAGCGAGAGAGGGAGAGGATGATAGTTTTTTTTTGCGATGAGGAGGGGGAGAGATGGGAGATAATTTTGTGGTGGGGGATTTTTGGACAACGTGGACGAACGGTGGCCATGGAAGGAATTCCAGTGACGTGGCTCACCGGTGAATTTGTAGGGGTGGCTGGTGATTCAGCCGCCCCTACAAATGGACACAGCATTTGTAGGGGCGGCTCGTATTATCAGCCGCCCCTACTGTGTCATTTGTAGGGGCGGCTGCTGTGCTGGAGCCCAAACACGTCACCGTACGGGCGGCTCGAATACCAGCCGCCCCTAACAAAAAGTCCCGTTGCTACAAACTGTTTTTCATGTAGTCTCAGGCACTCGGTTTACCTGTTGAACCGTTTACCAACCAAGGTAATGGGTGATTGTACTCCATACAAAGCCTGGAATGGGAGGAAGACACACCTCGGGCATTTGAAAATATTTGGGTGCAATGCAAATGTCAGGCCTGCAGTGCCTTATCTGAAGAAATTGGATGACAGGAGTCAGAAAATGATGTACCTCGGTGTAGAGGAGGGGAGCAAGGCCCACATACTCTATGATACTCAAAACAACAGGATTGTTGTGAGTAGAGATGTGGTGTTTGAAGAAAGTGT